TAGCTCCTAAACCAACAATCTGACCAGCTCTACTCCCCTAACTACTACACTACACAGCCTGTAAGTGATTGATTCGAAGATACCACGACGTTCAAGGGACAATTAGGTTACATCACTTTCCCTCTCTCCCCAATGACTGCATGCGGTGGCACCATCAACAGGTAAGCAGGAGAGACTGTGACTTCCTTCCTCGCATCCCCGGGGTCCTCTCGGTCTCACGGCCCGTTTTCGGCATCGGAGAGCAGCTCGTCTGGCACATAGATCTTCTAATCACAACCAGCCTGCCATCCATCCATCCCTCACAGTCATCAATTATTCGCACAGGACAGAAAGAAAAGGAGGTGCGAGGAGGGAGCTCAAAGAAAAACGAGAGAGAGAAAGAGTACAGAAAAAAGGGAGGGGATAGTTTCAAAATAAAGGGAATGGGACTGAAAGAAAAACAGAGAAAAGAGAAAGAGAAAAGGTTTGGAGAGACATCCGTCGATAATGACAGATTACTGTAATTCAGGCTGTCAGGAGCATCGACCTGTGCGGCTCACGCCAATCAATAGCTCAGTCCACTATCGAGCTCCGCGCAGGCACACAGATGGGCGAGATTGCTGCGAGCGAAAGACTCAAGCTGAGCCAAACAATCTCTCTGGCTTGGAGGACATGGCAGATGAGAATCGCTTTCCCCCCTTTTTCTCTCGCTCTCATCGTCATCTACCCTCCTCTTCGCCTTCGCTTTGTTTTCTGAAAGTAGCATCTCTTTTAGGAGAAAAAAAAAGAGTGCTCTTAAAGAAAGGTTAAAGGTCTTTGGTGCCAACGAGGCCGAGATGCTTGGATGCTTGATCTGGAGTGAGGGCTCCAGATCATTTTGGAAGGGCACTTTCTTTCAAAGACTAAAAAGGGGATTTGCACTGCACAGGTTGAGCCCTATGTGTGCACTTGCCTGCTTGTGCTTAAGTGCACCGACATATAGCACCATTGTGACCATATTTTGCTACTCCTTTGGCATCTCTGTCCTAGACTTTTAGACCTAAATAATGTTGGTGAGCACAAATCTTGATTTTAATAAAATGCACATAAATCAACCACTTCTAAAAAGAAAAAAGAGACTCTTTAATATAAATAAATAAAACTATTTTCAAAATTTAAGACTTTTTAAGACCATTATAAATGCAATTGTAGACCTACACAGGGCTAAACATTAATGATTTTTTTTTTGTAATAGCCTGGTTAGGTCAATGGAATTGTATAATTTTTTGCTTGCCACAAAAACAAATTTAATTATTTCTTAGCAACATATTTTAATGTTTTAAAAAATTATTACAATTTTTAAAATTGTTATTAAATGACAAGTTTAACACTAAAATTTTATAATTAAATTTTTTCATACATTTTCCTTCAGGTTAGTCTCTTATTTATCAGGGGTCGCTACAGCGGAATGAACCGCCAAATATTCCAGCATATGTTTTACGCAGAGAATGCTCTTTCAGCCACAATTCAGTACTGGGAAACACTTACTCTATCAAACATTCTCATTCTCATTCTCTCTCACACGCACGCACGCATGCACGCACACACTATGGCCAACAGTTTATTCAATTCATCTATAGAACATGTCTTTGGACTGTGGGGGAAACTGAAGCACCCGGAGGAAACCCACGCAAACACAAGGAGAACATGCAAACTCCACAGAGAAATGCCAACTGATGCAGCCGGGAAACCAGCGACCTTCTTGCTATGCCACCAAAAGTATATTTATTATGGAGACAGTTACATGCATAATCAAAGATATATATTTGTTGGCTTTTGGTCCAAATTGATTGAGTATAACTCCTATTCAACCTAATGTGTTTCTGCTATAAAAGCTTAAGCTTCCTGCCTATTTTTAAATATTATGTCCACTCTGACTTACTTCTGTAAATAGTTTTTTGCAGTAAATGGAAGATAATGATAATTAAGATAATAAGATCATTATAATCTAATGAGAATTAGTTGACTTGAAAATGCAAATGTAACTTAAATTCAACAAACAAACCATCAAAATAAAGTGTGACCTAATTAGGGAATTTAGTTTGAAGAAATTGCAGTAAAAATGTCTAACAGCTATTGTAAATTGCATCTCTTTGTATTGAAAAATCATTGACCAAATGCTTTAATATTTAATATATAAAAAAGGTTGTTGGTTGTTAAGATTGTTGGTGATTGGATGAATGTCGGCCCGATTGGGTAGTTTACTTGGACACAGGGAAAGTTGAGACCTGTTCAATATGATATGAGAGCTACAATTCAATATTTCAGTGAATTTAAGACTTTTTAATGCCTAAAATTTAGTTTTTGAAACTGAAGACATTTTAAGACCCTGCAGACCCTGATAAAAAAGAACTAGAGATTGGTCAAAACAAAAGCAAGGTGGCATGAAATACAGACCAATCTAATGTGAGAAATGGCACTTTATGTATTCCATCAGCTGCCTAAACTAGTTTCATAGTAGCATTTGACATTTCCACACTTCAAACCTGAAACTATTTCATTACAAATAAAACAGAGCAGTTTTATGCTGCATTGGAGCAAAATGAACACACAACTCTGCCCAATCATCTTTGAAAACTCTAAATTGTCTACATAATTTTTTCTTTTCTGAAAACTGTCATCCACACCCTTTCAAAAACTCCGTGTTGGTCAGTATCTGCCAATTATGTCATGCACTGAGTGGATATCTTGACAAAATATATATTAAATATCTCCGGACTTTGACAAGCCCTGGCATATACAGTACAGTGGCTGGCTGCTTTTCTTTAGCAAAACTGTTTACGGACACAACAGCTTGAAAGATTTTTATAGAAGAATGGTTGGTTGGTTTCTAATAAAAGTTCAATTCCAGACTGTCTGGCTTGTTTTTTTTTTCAATCTTTTAGCACTCTTTCCTTTTCAAAATGCTACTTTGAGTTCATTTCTGGTCTATAGATATAGTTCAGGTACATCCTCTCACATGAATTTGTGAATTTCACCAGATCACTCACACAGAAAAGCAAAAGCACATTCAGTTATGTCATCATAAGTCACGTGATTTGACATGTTCTTTATGAGTAGTACAAATGGTGCAAGATGTGTTGCAAGTTGAGGTTTATACTTTTCACAAGCCTAACCCTAATTCCTAAGCAATACTCTTAGGATGCGTCACTACTTTCAAGTCATCAAAATAATAATTTGTCTCCATTTTGTTACAAGTAATACTGGAATCTTTTTTCCAAGTCAACAAAATAATCCAGAATAATCCTGTTTTTAGCTTCGGTGTAAACAAAAGTTTTTAAAACAACAAATTAGCACAATTTCAGAATAATTACATGATACTAATAATTGAGAGTAATGAGTCAGAAGAACACAAGAATAAATGTTTTCATATATTAAGTACAATACAGCTACTTTAGAGTACTTTTTTATTTATCATATTTTTGTCACTATATGTTTTTTTATATTTAACTCAAACTCAAAATAATTGGCTGCTTATTAATAGTTAAGCTAGTAGTTGGGTATAGGTATTGCATATGATTAGGGATGTAGCATTGAATATGTACTTTATAACTACTAATAAACAGCCAATATCTTAAAAATGGTCAGGTAATAAGGCTTAAGCTAATAGTGTGAATTGGTACTTAAACTTTGTGTTTACCAAAACAGTATTAAAAAAAAAACAAAACAAAAAAAAAACTAGTTTGTGCATCTAAAACAATCATTAAAATGATCCATCGTTGTACATAATTTAAATTGTGAACTAAAGTTCAAATGTTTGGGGTTATTAATTTGATTGTTTAAAAAATATATTTTTGAAGTCTCTTATTCTGATCAAGCATGCATTTACGGTAGGGATGGTCCGATCGATTGGCCAAAAATCGCTATTGGCTGATAATCACATTTCGTCACTCATTCAGCACTCGCTAATCTGCCCGAATTCATGATTCGATCACAATTGTTTGTTTAAGAGTTTACAAGCAGAGGAAAAATAAGAACTGTGATCTTTTTACATATACGAACTGAAAGTTCTGTGTTTTCAACAATATTGCAAGTTCATTATAACCTGGCTGGAAAGATTATTGAAATAAAAAAATAAAACAACAAATTTTTAATTAAATATTTAATAATATAACTTATCGCAATTTACTTATTGTTATAAACAGTAGTTTATAGGCATATTTCCTTTTAGTAAAATAGTAATGTATTTATAGATGTGTATTTTAATTCTTATGCAACAAATATGCACTCCAAACTTCACTGAGACATGTTGAATTCTTCTTCCATCATTTGCAATGTTTCCAAATTACTTTGTTAGTGATTTTTGTTACCAATTTTTTTAATCTGTTTTATGTATTATTTTCTGTAAAGCTGCTTCTGACCATTACATGTCTACGCTAATTGGTTATAAGAGATGTGTTTAGGAATTATATGCAACATCTTTAATTTATTCTCTGAGATAAGGCAAGGTTTACACCTAATTATCATACTTAGAGTGAAAATGTGCTTTATGCATCCTAAAAAAATCCTGATAAAAGATTTCAGCATTATTACTCCAGTCTTGTGAGGTCAAAAACTCAAAACAATAAGTTTCAGCTCTAGAGCAGAGATTCAGATGTGTGTGTGTCGTGTGTGTGATTGTGTGACCGACAGAAAGAGAGAGAACAAAAAAAAAAAAACAGCAATTTGCCAGAAAGGGATTCGAAAAGTAAATGGCTGTGCATCACAGCTAGCAGGCACTGAGGGCTGATCAGAATGATTCCATCACCCGCCTGACTTGCTGAGCCGAGAACAGTGCTCTACATGTGCAGAGCTGCGAAATGAGACATCAATAATTATCGAGCGGTTCTACCTGCTCCGCTCCGAGCCTGAGCCCAACCTGATCGTCAATCCACACATCCACGAGCCAGGCCTGGGAAACCAACAATAATAATAAGCCTCTGCCACCTTAAATATGACAAAAGCCCACATGCACTCGTTAGCCTGGGGGAAAAAAAGGATACAAGTTTTGGTATAGAGGGATGAGGGATTTCAGAGCTCTGCTGGCGTTGATGGCTGTCGCTCGCACCACTGTGGGCAATATAGTCCCATCCACTATGGCTCCGTCAAACAAGGGACCAAAGAACGGCACCTGTGGAAAAGGGACATGACATGATATATGAACACTTAATAGCCTGCCAAGAGGAGAGAAAAAAAAGAGAGAAGCCCAAAGCATGGGCAAAATACACATTTCAATCAGTATTAAGGGCTGTTCACACACCCTCCTTTTTTAGCATGAAAAATGCTGCATGGCATGACTGTAAAACAAGACAATGAATCTTTATGAACTCCTTTCCAGCGAGTCTGAATAAATGTATTGTGAATGGCTCGTTTTTTTGTTCCATTTTATTTTATTTCATGTTCTAGTTTTGAGTTGGTTTATGAAAGCTTTTATGAAATGTGGATTAATAAATAGAGCAAAAAGTAATAATGAAATAAAATGAATGTAATTTTATCGCAATTAAAAATACCTATTTGCTATTAGATTTGTCAGAATTATTAGTGCTAAGAAATGTTTTATTGAGAGTATTTTTTCGAGTCTCTATTATTGCATTCTGATGGTTCTTTTTTGTGGTCTGTTCCTTTTTTTTGTTTTATTTTTTCACTAGTTTTGAGTTGGTTAGTTTATAAAATGTGGATTAAAAATAGAGCAAAAAGTAACATTGAAATAAAGAAATATTATTTCAATTAAAAATTGTATTTGCATTGATTTGCTGCTCAATTCAATTTATTATAATTATTAGTGCTAAAAAATATTTTATTGACACCAAGCATTTTTTTGCAGTCGTTTCCATTTTATTTTATTTTATTTACTACCTTTGAGCTGGTAAGACATTTTGAAATGTGGATAAAAAGTAATAATTAAATAAATTTAATGAAATATTATTGCAATTAATAATAACTAATTTGCACTGACTGCTTATTTAGATTTATTATAATTACTAATGCTATTAAATATTTCATCGACATTGTTTTTGGGCAAACAGTTTTTTATCAATATGCCTGATGCATGTACAGCTCAAAAGAAAAACATTTATATTTTACATTAATTTTTACATTTTAAATTAACATTTGTTCCATTCTTTCTGACACTTTTGATTAACTAATGTATCTAATATAAATAAATATAGTGATATACTTATATATTTTATATAAATACTACTACGACCAAAAAAAGCTTTTGCTGCTTGTTTAAAGTACTTATTTAAAATGAACACAATTCTCTAGATTTTTGTGGGAAACAACTGTTTTATGTTTAATCCACTTAAATTTGTTATGTTTTTTTTTACGATTTGAATTTTATTGATTTTTCTTATTTGCAAATGATGCAGATGAATATCAAATACATAGTAATATAACATTAAAAGCAGAACAATACAAAATAAATAAATACAATAAATAAATAACTTAACATTAATTGAGTGAATAAACCAAACCAAAAAAAAATAAAAATAAACAATTCTTTAACAAGTGAGTATGTGAAATTGTATGTATGATATTTCTGTTCGAAATAAATCAAATCAACATCAAATCAAACAGAAATTGATTAGGCTAACTTAATTGTTTTTCCAAATTTAGGTTGATTGAACATAAAACAATTAAGTTTTCCCTCCAAATAAAACAGAGTAAATGTGTGGATTCAGCACATTTTAAATAAGTAGTCTAAACAAGGATCAAAAATAATTTTTAAGTGAACTACTACTACTACTACTAATAATAACGACATTTTTATTCAGCGTATTTATATATCCGTGTCTTTTTCTATAGTTTTACCCAAAAATAATTAATAACTCTTCAGTTGCATTAGACTGTCTGTGAACAAGCCTTTACACACCTTATAAGCAAGCAGCTTTGTCCTTTAAATAAAAGGAGGCATGAAAATGTCAAAACCTTCGACGTATTTCAGCCTGCTACATAAAAAAAACCCATCCTGACATTAAACAGAAAAGAAACAGTGAATAGCCTTCATGCACTGAAATGGGGTCTAAATGGACTTTCATAAAAGCCAGGCCTCGTCTTTCTTTATCTCTCCATCTTTCTACATTTCCTCAGACTGCATGAAAGACTGAGCCTCTCGTCTCGGATCCATCTCCACAGCGGAATTCGATTCTGAGAATCCCATTCATTCAATTAAGCCCTGACATAACTGAGCAGGAAGCAAAGGCTGGTAGCGCCAAAGACAGATCTGCTTCCACCGTCTCCTGTTCAAGGCTTTGAGCTCATTTACAGAAAAAAAACAAATGGCTGTGATGCACAAACAAATATCTCTGCTTTGCTTTAGTTACTCTTTAAGAGCGACAGATTTTTTTTTCTCCCTCTAAGTATGCTTAAGGGTTTTACCGTATTCTGTTGTATTGAGATAATAGCAGTGCTTCTTTCACATAGACTTTCGCCCAGGTATATTAATCGCCGCCCAAGTATATTTGGTGATGCATTTTTTCACTATGATCATCCTTTAAAATAATATTTAATATTATAAAGGCAATTGAATCATAATTAATTTAATATTCACCCAAATGAACCAAATATCTGCAATTAACCAGTGAAAAACTGTCTCTCGTTTACCCGTTTTATAGTCTAATGCTAGTTCTGTGTGCGCAAGAAATGTCAACATTCCCACAGACAGTCACATGCTCTGCACACTGACAGAGATTCGCTTTTTTGGCACTTAAAAATGCATCCAGCATTTCTAAATCTCCTAATGTCCGATATTTGGCTTTCTTGTTCAAAAGTTGACGTTAAACGTATGCATTTTTAAATGAACTTTTTATTTAAACATACTTTTGCTTGGCATTACAGCTGAGTGCGCAAGCACAGTCGTGAGAGCGAGAGAAACATCAAATAATTTATTAAAGACTCAGAAAAACTTGACTATATTCTAATATAATGTACCACAGATACAGGGACACTGGAGCGTTTTAAAGCTGCTATTCATCAGTGGATCACTGGTACAGTATGTCAGCTTACAGACAAAGCAGCTGATTGACATGACTTCAAAACGCTCCAGTAATCCTGTATCTGTGGTTACCTTCAGTAAACAGCAGTGAGTTTGGTAAACCGATGACCTTCACGGCCAGTCACAGTAATTTTTAATAAATTACTCAAGAGTGCTCAAATGTTAGTGGGAAATGGATGTTTTTTTTTATTTCAGTATTGATTGGAATGTGACTTATTTCTATAAAAACTGTCTCTCGTTTACCCGTTTCATAGGCTACTGCTAGTTCTGTGTGCGCAAGAACTGTCAACATTCTTCCAGACGGTCACATCCTCTGCACACCAACAGAGATCCACCTTTTTGGCATTTACAAAATGCATCCGGTCTGGGTTTCTAAATGTCCTAATGTCCGATATTTGGCTTTCGCTTTCAAAAGCTGACATTAATTGTATGCATTTTTACATGACCTTTTTATTTAAACATACCTTCACTCTGCTTTACGGCTGACTGCGCGAGCACAGACGTAAGAAACAATAAATAATTCATTAACGAGTCAGAAAAACTTTACTATATATTAGTTAATATAATGTACCACAGATACAGGGACACTGGAGCGTTTTAAAGCTGCTTTTCATCAGTGGATCGCTGGTACAGTATATCAGCTTACAGACAAACCAGGTGATTGACATAACTTTAAAACGCTCCATTATTCCTGTATCTGTGGTTTACCTTCAGTAAACAGTAAACAGAGTTTGGTGAACCGATGAGCTTCATTACCAATCACAGTCACTTCTGTTGAGCAAGTGAACACGATGGCAAATCATGCTCAATAGTGCTCAAATGTTAGTGAGAAATGTAAGTTTTTTTTATTATATCTCAGAATTTCTTGGTACCGAATTCCAGTCTTGTGACAACACTACAATGGAATGTGACTTATTTCTATGATGTTAATCAGAGTTTTCAGCATTACTACTCCAGTCTTGAGTAACGAAGTCACAACATCATGCTGATTTGGTGCACGAGAATCATTTTTAATCAGGTCAAAATAGTTTTATCTGCTTAATTTTTTTCCTGGAAAATGAAATGCATAAAAAAACTGGAAAAACTTTTTTTTAAGGAAATTTTAAAAACAGAGGATTTAACTAACATAAAATACATAAAAACTTAAGTATCACTTTTTAATTTTACTGCAAAAAATGCAGTGAAGATATTTGATATTAGAATTAGGAATATTAGAAATTAAAGATTTGGACTAGAAACAAGACAAAAGTTTCATCTAAAGTTTTACAAAGTCTAAAATAAATAAATCTGACTCCAAACTTTTAAACACTAAAGTCATCCCATTCTCCAGTTTTACTCCCAAGTTATATTTCTTTACACTGTTAAAATCTGCTGGAATAAAAAAAAAAAACAGATTCAATAATGATTTCATGCCTTCTCTATCTAGTTCCAGATTTTCTGTAGGTTTTATGCAGGTAAATGTAAAGTGTTGGTGGACAAAGTTAAAAAAAATAATTGAAAGCAACAAAATAATTTAAAATGTTCTCTAAAGGGACTGAACACGATCTTCATTTTCACATGTAATGATATGACTATTAATTTAATACCTTCTGCTCTTATTTAAAACCTTAAATTGTGAAGGAGTGACTTTTTTGAAGCTATAAAAATAACGCAGTAACTCAGAGTCATCAAAAAGAAAGAAAGAAAGAAAGAATGAGGACTGTATGCTGAGGAATGTGTGCTCAAATGTGCTGAGCTCACCTCAGGTTTCTTGATGATCTGGATGCTGTACATGTGGTTCTTCATAGGGTAGATGACGATGAGCACGTCTCCAAACTCAGTAGGAATGACGCCTCTCCGATAGTCCCGCGAGTGCTCAGACCACACGATGTGCACTTCATCATTACCCAGGTGTCTCAACTGTAAACACACAGAAGAAATGAAATCTAGTCAGAAATCTGTACAGAGAGCATGCTCATTCAACTTATTCAAAGGAGGTGTCTTTAAACTGCCATCACCAAAAAAGCCTTTTATATAAAGTATTAAATACATTTCAGTAGTTCAGCATCCTCTCCTTGTGTCATTGTTATTACACATAACTAATTTTTCTGATTTTTTTGTTTTGTTTTATTTTTAGGTTTGTATTGTTAGGATTTTTACCTAAATCTGGTTCAATCCCATGTCAACAACTCCTTTAGAAATATTATTCCCAGGAAAAAACATGACGTGTTCAATACTTATTTCCTCAGCTGTATAAAAACTAAATAGAAAGTTAAAAACTAAACTAAAACTAACTAAAACCATTATGAAATGAACTAAAAACTGTAAAAACTGTTTAGAAATTAAAACTAATTTAAAATATCTTTGGTACAAACGGCCTTAAGCTTCTGCACTGCTCATATTTTATGGCCGTCACGCTCTCATGAACAAAAGCAAAACTTTAACTCGTCCGAATTGAATCTGGACTCTGCCATTCTGCAGATCCATCCACTACAGTCTTATTAACCTTGCTCTGTGACAGCTAAGAGAACGGACACTTGCGCTCTCTCTCTCCTCCTCTCATTTATCTTCCAGCGATCACTCCATCATCCCGAGACCCGCTCAATCTCTGCCATGACCATGGACGCAGTGACCCGTCAGCGGTCTCGAGTGATGGACACAACCTTTACGCAACCAATGACAAACTCTGTCCTTTGGAGTCAACGATGGACATCAGTCATTTCTTTAACTGCGGCGTTCCACCGGCTCAAGTTGTTTAAAAGGCTGTCAATTTATACGCTGAGTTGAACAGGCCCAAAATGAACATTTAGCAACTACCAAATGCAAACAGTATTTGTGTAAACTAGCTAGTGTATGATGCTACATAGATAAAGAAGACACTGATATAAGAATACATAATTAAATTATAACTGAATATAAATCATAATCATGATTTATGTATCCAGAACACGCTCTACCACTTTACATTAGACTCTCCAACCCTATTTCTGTGTTTAAGTTTGTTTTAAAGACTTTTTTCCCCTCACTTTTAATTATTCTTGATTATTATTTTTTTTAAATGCTTTTAATTGTTTTCTTCTTAAATTTAATTAGCTTATTTTTTTCTCTGTGTTTAGTACTTCTATGTACAGCACTTTGCTTAACTTGGTTGTTTTTTTAAATGTGTTTTAATAAATATTGTATTGTACTGTCATACATAGTAAGTTAAAAGCATAATTAATATAAAATGTTAGACGTGTTGTAGATGGTTTCAAAAAGAATTAGAGAGCATTTTATATAAAAAAAAACTCATTTAAAAATATAGAAGAGAAAAAAAAGATTTAATATTATTTAACTTATTTTTTTTCCATATACAAATATTTTCACCTCAAAATTTATCCAGTGCAAAAAATAGCAGAAATAAAAAGAAAATTAGGTTTGGCATCAAAAGAATACATTTTTAACATTAAAAACATTCTAAAAAAACAAACAAATGTTTAATATGAATGAAATAATATAACTTTTTACTCCCTAAAAAGATCATATTACATAAAAATACATGGAAAACCAATCTGCCATAAAATAAATAAATAATAGAATATTAATTATAATATCAGTTAGAATCATAATATATTAAATTGTAACAAATAACCATCAATTATACTACAATTAGTTCAAAAATAATTTATGGCTGACACACTGGAAACAGATCCATTAGAGTGCATTTTATTTGATAAAACAGAAGCCATGAAAGAACCAAAAAAAAAAAAAAAAGACTGGAGTAAAAAATAAAATAGAAACTAATGTTAATGCTAATAGCATAGAATATATTTATTTTTTATGAACTACAAGAACTTTTGGAATAGTTAGGGAGAGAATATTAGATGATGAAAGCTGCATAAAACAGCAGCCATGAAGAAAGAGAAAGAAAAAAAACCAGACGTGTACTTCCTCATTACCCAGGTGTCTCAACTGTAAACACACAGAAGAAATGTCATCGCAAATCTGTGCCTAGACAGACAGTACAGAGCTGTCAAGCATTTAAAAAAAAAATCAATGACTAATGAGTTTTTTCTGAATTAAATCCCTTTTAAATATACTTTTATAAAACAATAATTTCACATTTAATCTTAAGAGTATTCACATTAACAAAGAACGCATATTATTAATATTTGTTTATGGCTTTTTTCTTTTAAAATCACAGTTCCCAATACTACTGACGTCTTTAGCAAATATTGTTCTTTTTTTAATGCTAATATCATTGAAAATATTTAATTTCAACTACAAGAACTTTTGATTCCCCCAGAAGGGCATATTAGATATTAAAAGCTGCATAAAACAGCAGCTGCGAATGAAGAAGAAGAAGAAAAAAGGGGGCAACCACCACACCATGAGCACTTCATCACTACTCTGATATCTCAACTGTAAACACACAGAAGAAATGTCATCAGAAATCTGTGCCTAGACAGTATACTTATTAGAGATTTAGTTTATTTATAGTAATTAGAGCTGTCAAGCATTTAAAAAAATAATCTAAGTAATTGCTAATTAGCTTTTTGTTTTCTGAAATGAATGCCTTTTTGGGATAGGATAAAATGTATTTGTCCCCAAGAGGAAATTTGTCTTGGGCAAAAAGGTGCTACTCATTGCTCTAAGCAGACAATAAAATAAATAAAACAAACAAAACTATAAAGAACATACATTGTTTGAAAAATAAGACCATATATAAATATATAAATATGAAATATATAAAGCACAGAACACTGTCAGGTGCTAATGTACTACAGGCGTTCAACAGTTTTAACAAGGCAGCAACAAAAAAAAAAAAAAGCTTTGTGGCTACACATTGTGGGTATTCAAAGATCACTGAAATAAAGGACACCATGCTACTACAAGCCCTTTAGCACAGTTTTTCCCAACAAACACGCTGGTAAACCATCTAGCCCAGTTGCCTTACGGCTGTTTCCGCTGTCAAAAGGTACCTAAAAGCGAACCTTTCTTGCAAAGGGTACCAAGCAGGCATAAAGGGTACAATACGGTGCATCACAACACAAGAGTCTACTTCTACCCAGGGGTGTCTTTAGTAACAGGTAATATTTGTAACACGCTATTGCATTCCTCTAAATCATTTTGTGTCTCAAATATCAAATAGAAGTCATTTAACTCATTTGCTCTTTGTAAACTATCCAGTGTTGTAACCTGTTTTTTAGCAGGGCTCATATTAGCGATTTCATTGTTTCCCTAAGTTTTCTTGTGTTAGATGTATAAAAACTTCCATAATTTTATTTTAATCCCATTTTAATTAAATTTACTTTTAAAAAACAATCTTACATTCAATCTTATGAGTATTTAAATCAACAAAAAACATTTTTAATATGTGTTTGATGGCTTTTCTTTTAAATCAATGATCTCACTAGTACTGAAATCTTTAGGAAACTTTGTTCTTTTTTATATTTAATAAATATTTATATTTAACGCTAATATTATTGAATATATTAAAAAGAACTTTTGGATCCCTCAGAAGAGCACATTAGATGATAAAAGCTTTAATATATTTTCCCTTTTCTCTCTCTTTTAATTTTTTCTTTTCTTTTTTTTTCTTCTTTTATTATCATTATTTATTTTACTTAATACACCAAGCTGCCAACTTCAACTTTTGGTACTGACCTGTTGTAAAATGAGTGCACATGTATTGTTTAAGCACATCCTATACTGTGTTGCACAATATGAGGGTTATAGTGTGGATTATTTAGTTTTTTTAATCAATTTTGCAATGTTATATATTTTTATACATTTTTTTTTCTATTTGTACAGTTATTTTCTCTTTAAATTTAGTTTGTTAACTGTCACAAAAATCTGATAAATAAATCTTTTAAAAAAAGCTGCAGCTGTGAATGAAGAAAAACAGCAGCAGCAGCAGCAGAATAAGTGTGTGTGTGTGTGTTCGAGCTGTGGCACCGGCGGCCGCGCTGACACGCTTTAGTGTCTAGTTAACATGGTTTAGAGTTGCTATCGGAAGATCGTGCTCTGGATAGCCTCTCCAGCAGCCCTTGCAAATCCAATTTGCCTCTGAGGAGTCATGATAGGCGATGCAGCACAGGGACAGACCCAATCTAATTTGGGTTGAATATGGGTGTGCGTGGCGTGGAGGTCCCCTCAGCTCCCCCGCAGGGCAAAAAAACGACAGTCCAAAACCCAAGCGCCCCGCGCGTCACTTCACCCCGTGCCTCATGCTCAAATTACAGCCATGAATTACATGAAGCCTTCAGCTTCAGCACTGCAGACCACCGGCTGCCATTTCCTTTCGGGGTGTGTGTCCGTGTGACAAAATGATTGGAGTTTTATTGGACGATAAGGTGGTCTGGACGGAGAGATTTTCTTTCATCTCGGCCATCGTTGTTTAATCATGTAATATCATTCTGAGAGATGCCACATTCGCTTGGCGGCTGATTGTGGACTGAACTCAAAAGGCCTGTCCTTGATGTGATAAGATGATTAAGATTGTATTGTTGTACAGTCAAAGTCAAAATTATTCGCCCTCCTGTAAATTCTTTTTTCAAATATTTCTCAAATGATGTTTAACAGAGCAAGCAATTTTTCACAGTATTTTCTATAATATTTTTTTTTCTTCTGGAGAAAGTCTTATTTGTTTTACTTCGGCTAGAATAAAAGCAGTTTTTAAATATTTAAAAGCCATTTTAAGGTTAATATTATAGCCTTTTTAAGCAATATTTATTTTCTGACTGCCTACAGAACAAACCATCGTTATACAATAGCCCCTTTCACAGAAACAGATCTTTCGGGAAGATTACTAGCAATATTCCTGGAAAGGGATCATGTTTAAACACACCCTTTTTGTAAATACCGGTAAATAAGAAAAATAAAAACAACGGTAAAAAAATTCTAACATTACCGGTAAGTTGCCAAAATGCTGTGCTGTG